AGCGGATAGAGAAGAAGAAGGGCGGATAGAGAGGAAGAAGGGCGGATAGAGAAGAAGAAGGGCGGATAGAGAGGAAGAAGGGCGGATAGGGAGGAAGAAGGGCGGATAGAGAGGAAGAAGGGCGGATAGAGAGGAAGAAGGGCGGATAGAGAGGAAGAAGGGCAGATAGAGAGGAGGAAGGGCGAATAGAGAAGAGGAAGGGCGGATAGAGAGGAAGAAGGGCGGATAGAGAGGAAAGAAGGGCGGATAGAGAGGAAGAAGGGCGGATAGAGAGGAAGAAGGGCGGATAGAGAGGAAGAAGGGCGGATAGAGAGGAAGAAGGGCGGATAGAGAGGAAGAAGGGCGGATAGAGAGGAAGAAGGGCGGATAGAGAAGAAGAAGGGCGGATAGAGAGGAAGGAGGGCGGTTAGAGAAGAAGAAGGGCGGATAGAGAAGAAGAAGGGTGGATAGAGAAGGAGAAGGGCGGATAGAGAGGAAGAAGGGCGGATAGAGAGGAGGAAGGGCGGATAGAGAGGAGGAAGGGCGGATAGAGAGGAAGAAGGGCGGATAGGGAGGAAGAAGAAGGGCGGATAGAGAATAAGGGCGGATACAGAGGAAGAAGGGCGGATAGAGAAGAAGGGCGGATAGAGAGGAAGAATGGCGGATAGAGAAGAAGAAGGGCGGATAGAGAGGAAGGAGGGCGGTTAGAGAAGAAGAAGGGCGGATAGAGAGGAAGAAGGGCGGATAGAGAAGGAGAAGGGCGGATAGAGAGGAAGAAGGGCGGATAGAGAGGAGGAAGGGCGGATAGAGAGGAGGAAGGGCGGATAGAGAGGAAGAAGGGCGGATAGGGAGGAAGAAGAAGGGCGGATAGAGAATAAGGGCGGATACAGAGGAAGAAGGGCGGATAGAGAAGAAGGGCGGATAGAGAGGAAGAATGGCGGATAGAGAAGAAGAAGGGCTGATAGAGAGGAAGGAGGGCGGATTGATAGGAAGAAGGGCGGATAGAGAGGAAAAAGGGCCGATAGAGAGGAAGAAGGGCGGATAAAGAGGAAGAAGAGCGGATAGAGAAGAAGAAGGGCGGATAGAGAGGAAGAAGGGCGGATAGAGAAGAAGAAGGGCGGATAGAGAGGAAGGAGGGCGGATTGATAGGAAGAAGAGCGGATAGAGAAGAAGAAGGGCGGATAGAGAGGAAGAAGGGCGGAAAGAGAGGAAGAAGGGCGGATAGAGAGGAAGAAGGGCTGATAGAGAGGAAGGAGGGCGGATAGAGAGGAAGGAGGGCGGATTGATAGGAAGAAGGGCGGATTGAGAGGAAGAAGGGCGGATAGAGAGGAAGAAGGGCGGATAGAGAGGACGAAGGGCGGATAGAGAGAAAGAAGGGCGGATAGAGAGGAAGAAGGGCGGATAGAGAGGAAGAAGGGCGGATAGAGAGGACGAAGGGCAGATAGAGAGGAAGAAGGGCGGATAGAGAGGACGAAGGGCGGATAGAGAGGAAGAAGGGCGGATAGAGAGGAAGAAGGGCGGATAGAGAGGAAGGAGGGCGGATAGAGAGGAAGAAAGGCGGATAGAGAGGAAGAAGGGCGGATAGAGAGGAAGAAGGGCGGATCCAGAAGAAGAAGACGGGCGGATAGAGAGGACGAAGGGCGGATAGAGAGGAAGAAGGGCGGATAGAGAAGAAGAAGGGAGGATAGAGGGGACGAAGGGCAGATAGAGAGGAAGAAGGGCGGATAGAGAAGAAGAAGGGCGGATAGAGAGGAAGAAGGGTGGATAGAGAAGAAGAAGGGCGGATAGAGAGGAAGGAGGGCGGATTGATAGGAAGAAGGGCGGATAGAGAGGAAGAAGGGCGGATAGAGAGGAAGAAGGGCGGATAGAGAGGAAGAAGGGCGGATAGAGAGGAAGAAGGGCGGATAGAGAGGAAGAAGGGCGGATAGAGAGGAAGAAGGGCGGATAGAGAGGAAGGAGGGCGGATAGAGAGGAAGAAGGGCGGATAGAGAGGAAGAAGGGCGGATAGGGAGGAAGAAGGGCGGATAGAGAGGAAGAAGGGCGGATAGAGAGGAAGAAGGGCGGATAGAGAGGAAGAAGGGCAGATAGAGAGGAGGAAGGGCGGATAGAGAGGAGGAAGGGCGGATAGAGAGGAAGAAGGGCGGATAGAGAGGAAAGAAGGGCGGATAGAGAGGAAGAAGGGCGGATAGAGAGGAAGAAGGGCGGATAGAGAGGAAGAAGGGCGGATAGAGAGGAAGAAGGGCGGATAGAGAGGAAGAAGGGCGGATAGAGAAGAAGAAGGGCGGATAGAGAGGAAGGAGGGCGGTTAGAGAAGAAGAAGGGCGGATAGAGAGGAAGAAGGGCGGATAGAGAAGGAGAAGGGCGGATAGAGAGGAAGAAGGGCGGATAGAGAGGAGGAAGGGCGGATAGAGAGGAGGAAGGGCGGATAGAGAGGAAGAAGGGTGGATAGGGAGGAAGAAGAAGGGCGGATAGAGAGGAAGAAGGGCGGATAGAGAGGAAGAAGGGCGGATAGAGAGAAAGAAGGGCGGATAGAGAGGAAGAAGGGCGGATAGAGAGGAAGAAGGGCGGATAGAGAGGAAGAAGGGCGGATAGAGAGGAAGAAGGGCGGATAGAGAGGAAGAAGGGAGGATAGAGAGGAAGGAGGGCGGTTAGAGAAGAAGAAGGGCGGATAGAGAGGAAGAAGGGCGGATAGAGAGGAAGAAGGGGGGATAGAGAGGAAGAAGGGCGGATAGAGAGGAAGAAGGGCGGATAGAGAGGAAGAAGGGCGGATAGAGAAGAAGAAGGGCGGATAGAGAGGAAGAAGGGCGGATAGGGAGGAAGAAGGGCGGATAGAGAGGAAGAAGGGCGGATAGAGAGGAAGAAGGGCAGATAGAGAGGAGGAAGGGCGAATAGAGAGGAGGAAGGGCGGATAGAGAGGAAGAAGGGCGGATAGAGAGGAAAGAAGGGCGGATAGAGAGGAAGAAGGGCGGATAGAGAGGAAGAAGGGCGGATAGAGAGGAAGAAGGGCGGATAGAGAGGAAGAAGGGCGGATAGAGAGGAAGAAGGGCGGATAGAGAAGAAGAAGGGCGGATAGAGAGGAAGGAGGGCGGTTAGAGAAGAAGAAGGGCGGATAGAGAGGAAGAAGGGCGGATAGAGAAGGAGAAGGGCGAATAGAGAGGAAGAAGGGCGGATAGAGAGGAGGAAGGGCGGATAGAGAGGAGGAAGGGCGGATAGAGAGGAAGAAGGGCGGATAGGGAGGAAGAAGAAGGGCGGATAGAGAATAAGGGCGGATACAGAGGAAGAAGGGCGGATAGAGAAGAAGAAGGGCGGATAGAGAGGAAGAATGGCGGATAGAGAAGAAGAAGGCCTGATAGAGAGGAAGGAGGGCGGATTGATAGGAAGAAGGGCGGATAGAGAGGAAAAAGGGCGGATAGAGAGGAAGAAGGGCGGATAAAGAGGAAGAAGAGCGGATAGAGAAGAAGAAGGGCGGATAAAGAGGAAGAAGAGCGGATAGAGAAGAAGAAGGGCGGATAGAGAGGAAGAAGGGCGGATAGAGAAGAAGAAGGGCGGATAGAGAGGAAGGAGGGCGGATTGATAGGAAGAAGGGCGGATTGAGAAGAAGAAGGGCGGATAGAGAGGAAGAAGGGCGGATAGAGAGGAAGGAGGGCGGATAGAGAGGAAGGAGGGCGGATTGATAGGAAGAAGGGCGGATTGAGAGGAAGAAGGGCGGATAGAGAGGAAGAAGGGCGGATAGAGAGGACGAAGGGCGGATAGAGAGGAAGAAGGGCGGATAGAGAGGAAGAAGGGCGGATAGAGAGGAAGGAGGGCGGATAGAGAGGAAGGAGGGCGGATTGATAGGAAGAAGGGCGGATTGAGAGGAAGAATGGCGGATAGAGAGGAAGAAGGGCGGATAGAGAGGAACAAGGGCGGATAGAGAGGAAGAAGGGCGGATAGAGAGGAAGAAGGGGGGATAGAGAGGAAGAAGGGCGGATAGAGAGGAAGAAGGGCGGATAGAGAGGAAGAAGGGCGGATAGAGAAGAAGAAGGGCGGATAGAGAGGAAGAAGGGCGGATAGGGAGGAAGAAGGGCGGATAGAGAGGAAGAAGGGCGGATAGAGAGGAAGAAGGGCGGATAGAGAGGAAGAAGGGCAGATAGAGAGGAGGAAGGGCGAATAGAGAGGAGGAAGGGCGGATAGAGAGGAAGAAGGGCGGATAGAGAGGAAAGAAGGGCGGATAGAGAGGAAGAAGGGCGGATAGAGAGGAAGAAGGGCGGATAGAGAGGAAGAAGGGCGGATAGAGAGGAAGAAGGGCGGATAGAGAGGAAGAAGGGCGGATAGAGAGGAAGAAGGGCGGATAGAGAAGAAGAAGGGCGGATAGAGAGGAAGGAGGGCGGTTAGAGAAGAAGAAGGGCGGATAGAGAGGAAGAAGGGCGGATAGAGAAGGAGAAGGGCGGATAGAGAGGAAGAAGGGCGGATAGAGAGGAGGAAGGGCGGATAGAGAGGAGGAAGGGCAGATAGAGAGGAAGAAGGGCGGATAGGGAGGAAGAAGAAGGGCGGATAGAGAATAAGGGCGGATACAGAGGAAGAAGGGCGGATAGAGAAGAAGAAGGGCGGATAGAGAGGAAGAATGGCGGATAGAGAAGAAGAAGGGCTGATAGAGAGGAAGGAGGGCGGATTGATAGGAAGAAGGGCGGATAGAGAGGAAAAAGGGCGGATAGAGAGGAAGAAGGGCGGATAAAGAGGAAGAAGAGCGGATAGAGAAGAAGAAGGGCGGATAAAGAGGAAGAAGAGCGGATAGAGAAGAAGAAGGGCGGATAGAGAGGAAGAAGGGCGGATAGAGAAGAAGAAGGGCGGATAGAGAGGAAGGAGGGCGGATTGATAGGAAGAAGGGCGGATAGAGAAGAAGAAGGGCGGATAGAGAGGAAGAAGGGCGGATAGAGAGGAAGGAGGGCGGATAGAGAGGAAGGAGGGCGGATTGATAGGAAGAAGGGCGGATTGAGAGGAAGAAGGGCGGATAGAGAGGAAGAAGGGCGGATAGAGAGGACGAAGGGCGGATAGAGAGGAAGAAGGGCGGATAGAGAGGAAGAAGGGCGGATAGAGAGGAAGGAGGGCGGATAGAGAGGAAGGAGGGCGGATTGATAGGAAGAAGGGCGGATTGAGAGGAAGAATGGCGGATAGAGAGGAAGAAGGGCGGATAGAGAGGAACAAGGGCGGATAGAGAGGAAGAAGGGCGGATAGAGAAGGAGAAGGGCGGATAGAGAGGAAGAAGGGCGGATAGAGAGGAGGAAGGGCAGATAGAGAGGAGGAAGGGCGGATAGAGAGGAAGAAGGGCGGATAGGGAGGAAGAAGAAGGGCGGATAGAGAATAAGGGCGGATACAGAGGAAGAAGGGCGGATAGAGAAGAAGAAGGGCGGATAGAGAGGAAGAATGGCGGATAGAGAAGAAGAAGGGCTGATAGAGAGGAAGGAGGGCGGATTGATAGGAAGAAGGGCGGATAGAGAGGAAAAAGGGCGGATAGAGAGGAAGAAGGGCGGATAAAGAGGAAGAAGAGCGGATAGAGAAGAAGAAGGGCGGATAGGGAGGAAGAAGGGGGGACAGAGAGGAAGAAGGGGGGACAGAGAGGAAGAAGGGCGGGTAGAGAGGAAGAAGGGCGGATAGAGAGGAAGAAGGGCGGATAGAGAAGAAGAAGGGCGGATAGAGAGGAAGAAGGGCGGATAGGGAGGAAGAAGGGCGGATAGAGAGGAAGAAGGGCGGATAGAGAGGAAGAAGGGCAGATAGAGAGGAGGAAGGGCGAATAGAGAGGAGGAAGGGCGGATAGAGAGGAGGAAGGGCGGATAGAGAGGAAAGAAGGGCGGATAGAGAGGAAGAAGGGCGGATAGAGAGGAAGAAGGGCGGATAGAGAGGAAGAAGGGCGAATAGAGAGGAAGAAGGGTGGATAGAGAGGAAGAAGGGCGGATAGAGAGGAAGAAGGGCGGATAGAGAAGAAGAAGGGCGGATAGAGAGGAAGGAGGGCGGTTAGAGAAGAAGAAGGGCGGATAGAGAGGAAGAAGGGCGGATAGAGAAGGAGAAGGGCGGATAGAGAGGAAGAAGGGCGGATAGAGAGGAGGAAGGGCAGATAGAGAGGAGGAAGGGCGGATAGAGAGGAAGCAGGGCGGATAGGGAGGAAGAAGAAGGGCGGATAGAGAATAAGGGCGGATACAGAGGAAGAAGGGCGGATAGAGAAGAAGAAGGGCGGATAGAGAGGAAGAATGGCGGATAGAGAAGAAGAAGGGCTGATAGAGAGGAAGGAGGGCGGATTGATAGGAAGAAGGGCGGATAGAGAGGAAAAAGGGCGGATAGAGAGGAAGAAGGGCGGATAAAGAGGAAGAAGAGCGGATAGAGAAGAAGAAGGGCGGATAGAGAGGAAGAAGGGCGGATAGAGAAGAAGAAGGGCGGATAGAGAGGAAGGAGGGCGGATTGATAGGAAGAAGGGCGGAAAGAGAGGAAGAAGGGCGGATAGAGAGGAAGAAGGGCGGATAGAGAGGAAGGAGGGCGGATAGAGAGGAAGGAGGGCGGATTGATAGGAAGAAGGGCGGATTGAGAGGAAGAAGGGCGGATAGAGAGGAAGAAGGGCGGATAGAGAGGAAGAAGGGCGGATAGAGAGGAAGAAGGGCGGATAGAGAGGAAGAAGGGCAGATAGAGAGGAGGAAGGGCGAATAGAGAGGAGGAAGGGCGGATAGAGAGGAGGAAGGGCGGATAGAGAGGAAAGAAGGGCGGATAGAGAGGAAGAAGGGCGGATAGAGAGGAAGAAGGGCGGATAGAGAGGAAGAAGGGCGAATAGAGAGGAAGAAGGGTGGATAGAGAGGAAGAAGGGCGGATAGAGAGGAAGAAGGGCGGATAGAGAAGAAGAAGGGCGGATAGAGAGGAAGGAGGGCGGTTAGAGAAGAAGAAGGGCGGATAGAGAGGAAGAAGGGCGGATAGAGAAGGAGAAGGGCGGATAGAGAGGAAGAAGGGCGGATAGAGAGGAGGAAGGGCGGATAGAGAGGAGGAAGGGCGGATAGAGAGGAAGAAGGGCGGATAGGGAGGAAGAAGAAGGGCGGATAGAGAATAAGGGCGGATACAGAGGAAGAAGGGCGGATAGAGAAGAAGAAGGGCGGATAGAGAGGAAGAATGGCGGATAGAGAAGAAGAAGGGCTGATAGAGAGGAAGGAGGGCGGATTGATAGGAAGAAGGGCGGATAGAGAGGAAAAAGGGTGGATAGAGAGGAAGAAGGGCGGATAAAGAGGAAGAAGAGCGGATAGAGAAGAAGGGCGGATAGAGAGGAAGAAGGGCGGATAGAGAAGAAGAAGGGCGGATAGAGAGGAAGGAGGGCGGATTGATAGGAAGAAGGGCGGAAAGAGAGGAAGAAGGGCGGATAGAGAGGAAGAAGGGCGGATAGAGAGGAAGGAGGGCGGATAGAGAGGAAGGAGGGCGGATTGATAGGAAGAAGGGCGGATTGAGAGGAAGAAGGGCGGATAGAGAGGAAGAAGGGCGGATAGAGAGGACGAAGGGCGGATAGAGAGGAAGAAGGGCAGATAGAGAGGAAGAAGGGCGGATAGAGAGGAAGGAGGGCGGATAGAGAGGAAGGAGGGCGGATTGATAGGGAGAAGGGCGGATAGAGAGGAAGAAGGGCGGATAGAGAGGAAGAAGGGCGGATAGAGAGAAAGAAGGGCGGATAGAGAGGAAGAAGGGCGGATAGAGAGGAAGAAGGGCGGATAGAGAAGAAGAAGGGCGGATAGAGAGGAAGAAGGGCGGAAAGAGAGGAAGAAGGGCGGATAGAGAGGAAGAAGGGCGGATAGAGAGGAAGGAGGGCGGATAGAGAGGAAGGAGGGCGGATTGATAGGAAGAAGGGCGGATTGAGAGGAAGAAGGGCGGATAGAGAGGAAGAAGGGCGGATCGAGAGGACGAAGGGCGGATAGAGAGGAAGAAGGGCGGATAGAGAGGAAGAAGGGCGGATAGAGAGGAAGGAGGGCGGATAGAGAGGAAGGAGGGCGGATTGATAGGGAGAAGGGCGGATAGAGAGGAAGAAGGGCGGATAGAGAGGAAGAAGGGCGGATAGAGAGGAAGAAGGGCGGATAGAGAGGAAGAAGGGCGGATAGAGAGGAAGAAGGGCGGATAGAGAGGAAGAAGGGCGGATAGAGAGGAAGAAGGGCGGATAGAGAGGAAGAAGGGCGGATAGAGAGAAAGAAGGGCGGATAGAGAGGAAGAAGGGCGGATAGAGAGAAAGAAGGGCGGATAGAGAGGAAGAAGGGCGGATAGAGAGGAAGAAGGGCGGATAGAGAGGAAGAAGGGCGGATAGAGAGGAAGGAGGGTGGATTGATAGGAAGAAGGGCGGATAGAGAGGAAGGAGGGCGGATTGATAGGGAGAAGGGCGGATAGAGAGGAAGAAGGGCGGATAGAGAGGAAGAAGGGCGGATAGAGAGAAAGAAGGGCGGATAGAGAGGAAGAAGGGCGGATAGAGAGGAAGAAGGGCGGATAGAGAAGAAGAAGGGCGGATAGAGAGGAAGAAGGGCGGAAAGAGAGGAAGAAGGGCGGATAGAGAGGAAGAAGGGCGGATAGAGAGGAAGAAGGGCGGATAGAGAGGAAGGAGGGCGGTTAGAGAAGAAGAAGGGCGGATAGAGAGGAAGAAGGGCGGATAGAGAGGAAGAAGGGCGGATAGAGAAGAAGAAGGGCGGATAGAGAAGGAGGGCGGATTGATAGGAAGAAGGGCGGACAGAGAGGAAGAAGGGCGGATAGAGAGGAAGAAGGGCGGATCCAGAAGAAGAAGAAGGGCGGATAGAGAGGACGAAGGGCGGATAGAGAGGAAGAAGGGCGGATAGAGAAGAAGAAGGGAGGATAGAGGGGACGAAGGGCAGATAGAGAGGAAGAAGGGCGGATAGAGAAGAAGAAGGGCGGATAGAGAGGAAGAAGGGTGGATAGAGAAGAAGAAGGGCGGATAGAGAGGAAGTAGGGCGGATTGATAGGAAGAAGGGCGGATAGAGAGGAAGAAGGGCGGATAGAGAGGAAGAAGGGCGGATAGAGAGGAAGAAGGGCGGATAGAGAGGAAGAAGGGCGGATAGAGAGGAAGAAGGGCGGATAGAGAGGAAGAATGGCGGATAGAGAGGAAGGAGGGCGGATAGAGAGGAAGAAGGGCGGATAGGGAGGAAGAAGGGCGGATAGAGAGGAAGAAGGGCGGATAGAGAGGAAGAAGGGCGGATAGAGAGGAAGAAGGGCAGATAGAGAGGAGGAAGGGCGCATAGAGAGGAGGAAGGGCGGATAGAGAGGAAGAAGGGCGGATAGAGAGGAAAGAAGGGCGGATAGAGAGGAAGAAGGGCGGATAGAGAGGAAGAAGGGCGGATAGAGAAGAAGGAGGGCGGATAGAGAAGAAGAAGGGCGGATCGAGAGGAAGAAGGGCGGATAGAGAAGGAGAAGGGCGGATAGAGAGGAAGAAGGGCGGATAGAGAGGAGGAAGGGCGGATAGAGAGGAGGAAGGGCGGATAGAGAGGAAGAAGGGCGGATAGGGAGGAAGAAGAAGGGCGGATAGAGAATAAGGGCGGATACAGAGGAAGAAGGGCGGATAGAGAAGAAGAAGGGCGGATAGAGAGGAAGAATGGCGGATAGAGAAGAAGGGCTGATAGAGAGGAAGGAGGGCGGATTTATAGGAAGAAGGGCGGATAGAGAGGAAAATGGGCGGATAGAGAGGAAGAAGGGCGGATAAAGAGGAAGAAGGGCTGATAGAGAGGACGAAGGGCGGATAGAGAGGAAGGAGGGCGGATAGAGAGGAAGAAGGGCGGATAGAGAGGAAGGAGGGCCGATAGAGGGGAAGAAGGGCGGATAGAGAAGAAGGAGGGCGGATAGAGAGGAAGGAGGGCGGATTGATAGGAAGAAGGGCGGATTGAGAGGAAGAAGGGCGGATAGAGAGGAAGAAGGGCGGATAGAGAGGAAGAAGGGCGGATAGAGAGGAAGAAGGGCGGATAGAGAGGAAGAAGGGGGGATAGAGAGGAAGAAGGGCGGATAGAGAGGAAGAAGGCCGGATAGAGAGGAAGAAGGGCGGATAGAGAGGAAGAAGGGTGGATAGAGACGAAGAAGGGCAGATAGAGAGGAAGAAGGGTGGATAGAGAGGAAGAAGGGCTGATAGAGAGGAAGGAGGGCGGATTGATAGGAAGAAGGGCGGATAGAGAGGAAGAAGGGCGGATAGAGAGGAAGAAGGGCGGATAAAGAGGAAGAAGAGCGGATAGAGAAGAAGAAGGGCGGATAGAGAGGAAGAAGGGCCGATAGAGAGGAAGAAGGGCGGATAGAGAGGAAGAAGGGCTGATAGAGAAGAAGAAGGGCGGATTCAGAGGAAGAAGGGCGGATAGAGAGGAAGAAGGGCGGATAGAGAGGAAGAAGGGCCGATAGAGAGGAAGAAGGGCGGATAGAGAGGAAGAAGGGCGGATAGAGAGGAAGAAGGGCCTATAGAGAGGAAGAAGGGCGGATAGAGAGGAAGAAGGGCGGATAGAGGGGAAGAAGGGCGGATAGAGAGAAAGAAGGGCGGAAAGAGAAGAAGAAGGGCGGATAGGGAGGAAGAAGGGCGGATAGAGAGGAAGAAGAGCGGATAGAGAATAAGGGCGGATAGAGAGGAAGAAGGGCGGATAGAGAAGAAGAAGGGCGGATAGTGAGGAAGAATGGCGGATAGAGAAGAAGAAGGGCTGATAGAGAGGAAGGAGGGCGGAATGATAGGAAGAAGGGCGGATAGAGAGGAAGAAGGGCGGATAGAGAGGAAGAAGGGCGGATAAATAGGAAGAAGAGCGGATACAGAAGAAGAAGGGCGGATAGAGAGGAAGAAGGGCGGATAGAGAAGAAGAAGGGCGGATAGAGAGGAAGGAGGGCGGATTGATAGGAAGAAGGGCGGATAGAGAAGAAGAAGGGTGGATAGAGAGGAAGAAGGGCGGAAAGAGAGGAAGAAGGGCGGATAGAGTGGACGAAGGGCCGATAGAGAGCAAGAAGGGCGGATAGAGAGGACGAAGGGCGGATAGAGAGGAAGAAGGGCGGATAGAAAGGACGAAGGGCGGATAGAGAGGAAGAAAGGCGGATAGAGAGGACGAAGGGCGGATAGAGAGGAAGAAGGGCGGATAGAGAGGACGAAGGGCGGATAGAGAGGAAGGAGGGCGGATAGAGAGGAAGAAGGGCGGATAGAGAGGAAGGAGGGAGGATAGAGGGGAAGAAGGGCGGATAGAGAGGAAGGAGGGCGGATAGAGAGGAAGGAGGGCGGATTGATAGGAAGAAGGGCGGATTGAGAGGAAGAAGGGCGGATAGAGAGGAAGAAGGGCGGATAGAGAGGAAGAAGGGCGGATAGAGAGGAAGAAGGGCGGATAGAGAGGAAGAAGGGCGGATAGAGAGGAAGAAGGGCGGATAGAGAGGAAGAAGGGGGGATAGAGAGGAAGATGGGTGGATAGAGAGGAAGAAGGGCGGATAGAGAGGAAGAAGGGCGGATAGAGAGGAAGAAGGGCGGATAGAGAGGAAGAAGGGCGGATAGAGAGGAAGAAGGGCTGATAGAGAGGAAGGAGGGCGGATAGAGAGGAAGAAGGGCTGATAGAGAGGAAGAAGGGCGGATAGAGAGGAAGAAGGGCGGATAGAGAGGAAGAAGGGCGGATAAAGAGGAAGAAGGGCGGATAGAGAAGAAGAAGGGCGGATGGAGAGGAAGGAAGGCGGATTGATAGGAAGAAGGGCGGATAGAGAAGAAGAAGGGCGGATAGAGAGGAAGAAGGGCGGAAAGAGAGGAAGAAGGGCGGATAGAGTGGACGAAGGGCAGATAGAGAGCAAGAAGGGCGGATAGAGAGGACGAAGGGCGGATAGAGAGGAAGAAGGGCGGATAGAGTGGACGAAGGGCGGATAGAGAGGAAAAAGGGCGGATAGAGAGGACGAAGGGCGGATAGAGAGGAAGAAGGGCGGATAGAGAGGACGAAGGGCGGATAGAGAGGAAGAAGGGCGGATAGAAAGGACGAAGGGCGGATAGAGAGGAAAAAGGGCGGATAGAGAGGACGAAGGGCGGATAGAGAGGAAGAAGGGCGGATAGAGAGGACGAAGGGCGGATAGAGAGGAAGAAGGGCGGATAGAGAGGAAGAAGGGCGGATAGAGAAGAAGAAGGGCGGATAGAGAGGAAGAAGGGCGGATAGAGAGGAAGAAGGGCGGATAGAGAGGAAGAAGGGCGGATAGAGAGGAAGAAGGGCGGATAGAGAGGAAGGAGGGCGGAGTGATAGGAAGAAGTGCGGATAGAGAAGAAGAAGGGCGGATAGAGAGGAAGGAGGGCGGATAGAGGGGAAGAAGGGCGGATAGAGAGGAAGGAGGGCGGATTGATAGGAAGAAGGGCGGATAGAGAGGAAGAAGGGCGGATAGAGAGGAAGAAGGGCGGATAAAGAGGAAGAAGAGCGGATACAGAAGAAGAAGGGCGGATAGAGAGGAAGAAGGGCGGATAGAGAAGAAGAAGGGCGGATAGAGAGGAAGGAGGGCGGATTGATAGGAAGAAGGGCGGATAGAGAAGAAGAAGGGTGGATAGAGAGGAAGAAGGGCGGAAAGAGAGGAAGAAGGGCGGATAGAGTGGACGAAGGGCCGATAGAGAGCAAGAAGGGCGGATAGAGAGGACGAAGGGCGGATAGAGAGGAAGAAGGGCGGATAGAGAGGAAGAAGGGCGGATAGAGAGGAAGAAGGGCGGATAGAGAGGAAGAAGGGCGGATAGAGAGGAAGGAGGGCGGATTGATAGGAAGAAGGGCGGATAGAGAAGAAGAAGGGCGGATAGAGAGGAAGGAGGGCGGATAGAGGGGAAGAAGGGCGGATAGAGAGGAAGGAGGGCGGATTGATAGGAAGAAGGGCGGATTGAGAGGAAGAAGGGCGGATAGAGAGGAAGAAGGGCGGATAGAGAGGAAGAAGGGCGGATAGAGAGGAAGAAGGGCGGATAGAGAGGAAGAAGGGCGGATAGGGAGGAAGAAGGGCGGAAAGAGAGGAAGAAGGGCGGATAGGGAGGAAGAAGGGCGGATAGAGAGGAAGAAGGACGGATAGAGAATAAGGGCGGATAGAGAGGAAGAAGGGCGGATAGAGAGAAAGGAGGGCGGATAGAGAGGAAGAATGGCGGATAAAGAAGAAGGGCTGATAGAGAGGAAGGAGGGCGGATTGATAGGAAGAAGGGCGGATAGAGAGGAAGAAGGGCGGATAGAGATGAAGAAGGGCGGATAGAGAGGAAGAAGGGCAGATAGAGAGGAAGAAGGGGGGATAGAGAGGAAGAAGGGCGGATAGAGAGGAAGAAGGGGGGATAGAGAGGAAGAAGGGCGGATAGAGAGGAAGAAGGGCGGATAGAGAGGAAGAAGGGCGGATAGAGAGGAAGAAGGGCGGATAGAGAGGAAGAAGGGCGGATAGAGAGGAAGAAGGGCCGATAGAGAGGAAGAAGGGCGGATAGAGAGGAAGAAGGGCGGATAGAGAGGAAGAAGGGCGGATAGAGAGGAAGAAGGGCGGAAAGAGAAGAAGAAGGGCGGATAGGGAGGAAGAAGGGCGGATAGAGAGGAAGAAGGGGGGATAGAGAGGAAGAAGGGCGGATAGAGAGGAAGAAGGGCGGATAGAGAGGAAGAAGGGCGGATACAGAAGAAGAAGGGCTGATAGAGAGGAAGGAGGGCGGATTGATAGGAAGAAGGGCGGATAGAGAGGAAGAAGGGCGGATAGAGAAGAAGAAGGGCGGATAGAGAGGAAGGAGGGCGGATTGATACGAAGAAGGGCGGATAGAGAAGAAGAAGGGCGGATAGAGAGGAAGAAGGGCGGAAAGAGAGGAAGAAGGGCGGATAGAGAGGAAGGAGGGCGGATAGAGAGGAAGAAGGGCGGATAGAGAGGAAGGAGGGAGGATAGAGGGGAAGAAGGGCGGATAGAGAGGAAGGAGGGCGGATAGAGAGGAAGGAGGGCGGATTGATAGGAAGAAGGGCGGATTGAGAGGAAGAAGGGCGGATAGAGAGGAAGAAAGAAAGGACGAAGGTCGGATAGAGAGGAAAAAGGGCGGATAGAAAGGACGAAGGGCGGATAGAGAGGAAGAAGGGCGGATAGAGAGGACGAAGGGCGGATAGAGAGGAAGAAGGGCGGATAGAGAGGACGAAGGGCGGATAGAGAGGAAGGAGGGCGGATAGAGAGGAAGAAGGGCGGATAGAGAGGAAGGAGGGAGGATAGAGGGGAAGAAGGGCGGATAGAGAGGAAGGAGGGCGGATAGAGAGGAAGGAGGGCGGATTGATAGGAAGAAGGGCGGATTGAGAGGAAGAAGGGCGGATAGAGAGGAAGAAGGGCGGATAGAGAGGAAGAAGGGCGGATAGAGAGGAAGAAGGGCGGATAGAGAGGAAGAAGGGGGGATAGAGAGGAAGATGGGCGGATAGAGAGGAAGAAGGGCGGATAGAGAGGAAGAAGGGTGGATAGAGAGGAAGAAGGGCGGATAGAGAGGAAGAAGGGCAGATAGAGAGGAAGAAGGGCTGATAGAGAGGAAGGAGGGCGGATTGATAGGAAGAAGGGCGGATAGAGAGGAAGAAGGGCGGATAGAGAGGAAGAAGGGCGGATAAAGAGGAAGAAGAGCGGATAGAGAAGAAGAAGGGCGGATAGAGAGGAAGAATGGCGGATAAAGAAGAAGGGCTGATAGAGAGGAAGGAGGGCGGATTGATAGGAAGAAGGGCGGATAGAGAGGAAGAAGGGCGGATAGAGATGAAGAAGGGCGGATAGAGAGGAAGAAGGGCAGATAGAGAGGAAGAAGGGGGGATAGAGAGGAAGAAGGGCGGATAGAGAGGAAGAAGGGGGGATAGAGAGGAAGAAGGGCAGATAGAGAGGAAGAAGGGCGGATAGAGAGGAAGAAGGGCGGATAGAGAGGAAGAAGGGCGGATAGAGAGGAAGAAGGGCGGATAGAGAGGAAGAAGGGCCGATAGAGAGGAAGAAGGGCGGATAGAGAGGAAGAAGGGCGGATAGAGAGGAAGAAGGGCGGATAGAGAGGAAGAAGGGCGGAAAGAGAAGAAGAAGGGCGGATAGGGAGGAAGAAGGGCGGATAGAGAGGAAGAAGGGGGGATAGAGAGGAAGAAGGGCGGATAGAGAGGAAGAAGGGCGGATAGAGAGGAAGAAGGGCGGATACAGAAGAAGAAGGGCTGATAGAGAGGAAGGAGGGCGGATTGATAGGAAGAAGGGCGGATAGAGAGGAAGAAGGGCGGATAGAGAAGAAGAAGGGCGGATAGAGAGGAAGGAGGGCGGATTGATACGAAGAAGGGCGGATAGAGAAGAAGAAGGGCGGATAGAGAGGAAGAAGGGCGGAAAGAGAGGAAGAAGGGCGGATAGAGAGGAAGGAGGGCGGATAGAGAGGAAGAAGGGCGGATAGAGAGGAAGGAGGGAGGATAGAGGGGAAGAAGGGCGGATAGAGAGGAAGGAGGGCGGATAGAGAGGAAGGAGGGCGGATTGATAGGAAGAAGGGCGGATTGAGAGGAAGAAGGGCGGATAGAGAGGAAGAAAGAAAGGACGAAGGTCGGATAGAGAGGAAAAAGGGCGGATAGAAAGGACGAAGGGCGGATAGAGAGGAAGAAGGGCGGATAGAGAGGACGAAGGGCGGATAGAGAGGAAGAAGGGCGGATAGAGAGGACGAAGGGCGGATAGAGAGGAAGGAGGGCGGATAGAGAGGAAGAAGGGCGGATAGAGAGGAAGGAGGGAGGATAGAGGGGAAGAAGGGCGGATAGAGAGGAAGGAGGGCGGATAGAGAGGAAGGAGGGCGGATTGATAGGAAGAAGGGCGGATTGAGAGGAAGAAGGGCGGATAGAGAGGAAGAAGGGCGGATAGAGAGGAAGAAGGGCGGATAGAGAGGAAGAAGGGCGGATAGAGAGGAAGAAGGGGGGATAGAGAGGAAGATGGGCGGATAGAGAGGAAGAAGGGCGGATAGAGAGGAAGAAGGGTGGATAGAGAGGAAGAAGGGCGGATAGAGAGGAAGAAGGGCAGATAGAGAGGAAGAAGGGCTGATAGAGAGGAAGGAGGGCGGATTGATAGGAAGAAGGGCGGATAGAGAGGAAGAAGGGCGGATAGAGAGGAAGAAGGGCGGATAAAGAGGAAGAAGAGCGGATAGAGAAGAAGAAGGGCGGATAGAGAGGAAGAAGGGCGGATAGAGAAGAAGAAGGGCGGATAGAGAGGAAGGAAGGCGGATTGATAGGAAGAAGGGCGGATAGAGAAGAAGAAGGGCGGATAGAGAGGAAGAAGGGCGGAAAGAGAGGAAGAAGGGCGGATAGAGTGGACGAAGGGAAGATAGAGAGCAAGAAGGGTGGATAGAGAGGAAGAAGGGCGAATAGAGAGGACGAAGGGCGGATAGAGAGGAAGAAGGGCGGATAGAAAGGACGAAGGGCGGATAGAGAGGAAGAAGGGCGGATAGAGAGGAAGAAGGGCGGTTAGAGAGGAAGAAGGGCGGATAGAGAGGAAGAAGGGCGGATAGAGAGGAAGAAGGGCGGATAGAGAGGAAGGAGGGCGGATTGATAGGAAGAAGGGCGGATAGAGAGGAAGAAGGGCGGATAGAGATGAAGAAGGGCGGATAGAGAGAAAGAAGGGCGGATAGAGAGGAAGAAGGGGGGATAGAGAGGAAGAAGGGCGGATAGAGAGGAAGAAGGGCGGATACAGAGGAAGAAGGGCGGATAGAGAAGAAGAAGGGCGGATAGTGAGGAAGAAGGGCGGATAGAGAGGAAGAAGGGCGGATAGAGAGGAAGAAGGGCGGATAGAGAGGAAGAAGGGCCGATAGAGAGGAAGAAGGGCGGATAGAGAGGAAGAAGGGCCGATAGAGAGGAAGAAGGGCGGATAGAGAGGAAGAAGGGCGGATAGGGAGGAAGAAGGGCGGATAGAGAGGAAGAAGGGCGGATAGAGAAGAAGGGCGGATAGAGAGGAAAAAGGGCGGATAGAGAAGAAGAAGGGCTGATAGAGAGGAAGGAAGGCGGATTGATAGGAAGAAGGGCGGATAGAGAGGAAGAAGGGCGGATAGAGAGGAAGAAGGACGGATAGAGAATAAGGGCGGATAGAGAGGAAGAAGGGCGGATAGAGAGGAAGGAGGGCGGATAGAGAGGAAGAATGGCGGATAAAGAAGAAGGGCTGATAGAGAGGAAGGAGGGCGGATTGATAGGAAGAAGGGCGGATAGAGAGGAAGAAGGGGGGATAGAGAGGAAGAAGGGCGGATAGAGAGGAAGAAGGGCGGATAGAGATGAAGAAGGGCGGATAGAGAGGAAGAAGGGCGGATAGAGAGGAAGAAGGGGGGATAGAGAGGAAGAAGGGCGGATAGAGAGGAAGAAGGGCGGATAGAGAGGAAGAAGGGCGGATAGAGAGGAAGAAGGGCGGATAGAGAGGAAGAAGGGCGGATAGAGAGGAAGGAGGGCGGATAGAGAGGAAGAAGGGCGGATAGAGAGGAAGAAGGGCCGATAGAGAGGAAGAAGGGCGGATAGAGAGGAAGAAGGGCGGATAGAGAGGAAGAAGGGTGGATAGAGAGGAAGAAGGGCGGATAGAGATGAAGAAGGGCGGATAGAGAGGAAGAAGGGCGGATAGAGAGGAAGAAGGGGGGATAGAGAGGAAGAAGGGCGGATAGAGAGGAAGAAGGGCGGATAGGGAGGAAGAAGGGCGGATAGAGAGGAAGAAGGGCGGATAGAGAATAAGGGCGGATAGAGAGGAAGAAGGGCGGATTGAGAAGAAGAAGGGCGGAGAGAGAGGAAGAATGGCGGATAGAGAAGAAGAAGGGCTGATAGAGAGGAAGGAGGGCGGATTGATAGGAAGAAGGGCGGATAGAGAGGAAGAAGGGCGGATAGAGAGGAAGAAGGGCGGATAGAGAGGAAGAAGGGCGGATAGAGAGGAAGAAGGGCGGATAGAGAGGAAGAAGGGGGGATAGAGAGGAAGAAGGGCGGATAGAGAGGAAGAAGGGCGGATAGAGATGAAGAAGGGCGGATAGAGAGGAAGAAGGGCGGATAGAGATGAAGAAGGGCGGATAGAGAGGAAGAAGGGCGGATAGAGAGGAAGAAGGGGGGATAGAGAGGAAGAAGGGCGGATAGAGAGGAAGAAGGGCGGATAGGGAGGAAGAAGGGCGGATAGAGAGGAAGAAGGGCGGATAGAGAATAAGGGCGGATAGAGAGGAAGAAGGGCGGATTGAGAAGAAGAAGGGCGGATAGAGAGGAAGAATGGCGGATAGAGAAGAAGAAGGGCTGATAGAGAGGAAGGAGGGCGGATTGATAGGAAGAAGGGCGGATTGAGAGGAAGAAGGGCGGATAGAGAGGAAGAAGGGCGGATAGAGAGGAAGAAGGGCGGATAGAGAGGAAGAAGGGCGGATAGAGAGGAAGAAGGGGGGATAGAGATGAAGAAGGGCGGATAGAGAGGAAGAAGGGCGGATAGAGAGGAAGAAGGGCGGATAGAGATGAAGAAGGGCGGATAGAGAGGAAGAAGGGCGGATAGAGATGAAGAAGGGCGGATAGAGAGGAAGAAGGGCGGATAGAGAGGAAGAAGGGGGGATAGAGAGGAAGAAGGGCGGATAGAGAGGAAGAAGGGCGGATAGGGAGGAAGAAGGGCGGATAGAGAGGAAGAAGGGCGGATAGAGAATAAGGGCGGATAGAGAGGAAGAAGGGCGGATTGAGAAGAAGAAGGGCGGATAGAGAGGAAGAATGGCGGATAGAGAAGAAGAAGGGCTGATAGAGAGGAAGGAGGGCGGATTGATAGGAAGAAGGGCGGATTGAGAGGAAGAAGGGCGGATAGAGAGGAAGAAGGGCGGATAGAGAGGAAGAAGGGCGGATAGAGAGGAAGAAGGGCGGATAGAGAGGAAGAAGGGGGGATAGAGATGAAGAAGGGCGGATAGAGAGGAAGAAGGGCGGATAGAGATGAAGAAGGGGGGATAGAGAGGAAGAAGGGCGGATAGAGAGGAAGAAGGGGGGATAGAGAGGAAGAAGGGCGGATAGAGAGGAAGAAGGGCGGATAGAGAGGAAGAAGGGCGGATAGAGAGGAAGAAGGGCGGATAGAGAGGAAGAAGGGCGGATAGAGAGGAAGAAGGGCCGATAGAGAGGAAGAAGGGCGGATAGAGAGGAAGAAGGGCGGATAGAGAGGAAGAAGGGCGGATAGAGAGGAAGAAGGGCGGAAAGAGAAGAAGAAGGGCGGATAGGGAGGAAGAAGGGCGGATAGAGAGGAAGAAGGGGGGATAGGGAGGAAGAAGGGCGGATAGAGAGGAAGAAGGGCGGATAGAGAGGAAGAAGGGCGGATAGAGAGGAAGAAGGGCGGATTGATAGGAAGAAGGGCGGATTGAGAGGAAGAAGGGCGGATAGAGAGGAAGAAGGGCGGATAGAGAGGAAGAAGGGCGGATAGAGAGGAAGAAGGGCGGATAGAGAGGAAGAAGGGGGGATAGAGATGAAGAAGGGCGGATAGAGAGGAAGAAGGGCGGATAGAGAGGAAGAAGGGCGGATAGAGATGAAGAAGGGCGGATAGAGAGGAAGAAGGGCGGATAGAGATGAAGAAGGGCGGATAGAGAGGAAGAAGGGCGGATAGAGAGGAAGAAGGGGGGATAGAGAGGAAGAAGGGCGGATAGAGAGGAAGAAGGGCGGATAGGGAGGAAGAAGGGCGGATAGAGAGGAAGAAGGGCGGATAGAGAATAAGGGCGGATAGAGAGGAAGAAGGGCGGATTGAGAAGAAGAAGGGCGGATAGAGAGGAAGAATGGCGGATAGAGAAGAAGAAGGGCTGATAGAGAGGAAGGAGGGCGGATTGATAGGAAGAAGGGCGGATTGAGAGGAAGAAGGGCGGATAGAGAGGAAGAAGGGCGGATAGAGAGGAAGAAGGGCGGATAGAGAGGAAGAAGGGCGGATAGAGAGGAAGAAGGGGGGATAGAGATGAAGAAGGGCGGATAGAGAGGAAGAAGGGCGGATAGAGATGAAGAAGGGGGGATAGAGAGGAAGAAGGGCGGATAGAGAGGAAGAAGGGGGGATAGAGAGGAAGAAGGGCGGATAGAGAGGAAGAAGGGCGGATAGAGAGGAAGAAGGGCGGATAGAGAGGAAGAAGGGCGGATAGAGAGGAAGAAGGGCGGATAGAGAGGAAGAAGGGCCGATAGAGAGGAAGAAGGGCGGATAGAGAGGAAGAAGGGCGGATAGAGAGGAAGAAGGGCGGATAGAGAGGAAGAAGGGCGGAAAGAGAAGAAGAAGGGCGGATAGGGAGGAAGAAGGGCGGATAGAGAGGAAGAAGGGGGGATAGGGAGGAAGAAGGGCGGATAGAGAGGAAGAAGGGCGGATAGAGAGGAAGAAGGGCGGATAGAGAGGAAGAAGGGCGGATTGATAGGAAGAAGGGCTGATAGAGAGGAAGGAGGGCGGATTGATAGGAAGAAGGGCGGATAGAGAGGAAGGAGGGCGGATTGATAGGAAGAAGGGCGGATAGAGAAGAAGAAGGGCGGATAGAGAGGAAGAAGGGCGGAAAGAGAGGAAAAAGGGCGGATAGAGAGGAAGGAGGGCGGATAGAGAGGAAGAAGGGCGGATAGAGAGGAAGGAGGGAGGATAGAGGGGAAGAAGGGCGGATAGAGAGGAAGGAGGGCGGATAGAGAGGAAGGAGGGCGGATTGATAGGAAGAAGGGCGGATTGAGAGGAAGAAGGGCGGATAGAGAGGAAGAAAGAAAGGACGAAGGGCGGATAGAGAGGAAAAAGGGCGGATAGAAAGGACGAAGGGCGGATAGAGAGGAAGAAGGGCGGATAGAGAGGACGAAGGGCGGATAGAGAGGAAGAAGGGCGGATAGAGAGGACGAAGGGCGGATAGAGAGGAAGGAGGGCGGATAGAGAGGAAGAAGGGCGGATAGAGAGGAAGGAGGGAGGATAGAGGGGAAGAAGGGCGGATAGAGAGGAAGGAGGGCGGATAGAGAGGAAGGAGGGCGGATTGATAGGAAGAAGGGCGGATTGAGGGGAAGAAGGGCGGATAGAGAGGAAGAAGGGCGGATAGAGAGGAAGAAGGGCGGATAGAGAGGAAGAAGGGCGGATAGAGAGGAAGAAGGGGGGATAGAGAGGAAGATGGGCGGATAGAGAGGAAGAAGGGCGGATAGAGAGGAAGAAGGGCGGATAGAGAGGAAGAAGGGCGGATAGAGAGGAAGAAGGGCAGATAGAGAGGAAGAAGGGCGGATAGAGAGGAAGAAGGGCTGATAGAGAGGAAGGAGGGCGGATTGATAGGAAGAAGGGCGGATAGAGAGGAAGAAGGGCGGATAGAGAGGAAGAAGGGCGGATAAAGAGGAAGAAGAGCGGATAGAGAAGAAGAAGGGCGGATAGAGAGGAAGAAGGGCGGATAGAGAAGAAGAAGGGCGGATAGAGAGGAAGGAGGGCGGATTGATAGGAAGAAGGGCGGATAGAGAAGAAGAAGGGCGGATAGAGAGGAAGAAGGGCGGAAAGAGAGGAAGAAGGGCGGATAGAGTGGACGAAGGGCAGATAGAGAGCAAGAAGGGCGGATAGAGAGGACGAAGGGCGGATAGAGAGGAAGAAGGGCGGATAGAAAGGACGAAGGGCGGATAGAGAGGAAGAAGGGCGGATAGAGAGGAAGAAGGGCGGTTAGAGAGGAAGAAGGGCGGATAGAGAGGAAGAAGGGCGGATAGAGAGGAAGAAGGGCGGATAGAGAGGAAGGAGGGCGGATAGAGAGGAAGAAGGGCGGATAGAGAGGAAGAAGGGCGGATAAAGAGGAAGAAGAGCGGATAGAGAAGAAGAAGGGCGGATAGAGAGGAAGAAGGGCGGATAGAGAAGAAGAAGGGCGGATAGAGAGGAAGGAAGGCGGATTGATAGGAAGAAGGGCAGATAGAGAAGAAGAAGGGCGGATAGAGAGGAAGAAGGGCGGAAAGAGAGGAAGAAGGGCGGATAGAGTGGACGAAGGGCAGATAGAGAGCAAGAAGGGCGGATAGAGAGGACAAAGGGCGGATAGAGAGGAAGAAGGGCGGATAGAAAGGACGAAGGGCGGATAGAGAGGAAGAAGGGCGGATAGAGAGGAAGAAGGGCGGTTAGAGAGGAAGAAGGGCGGATAGAGAGGAAGAAGGGCGGATAGAGAGGAAGAAGGGCAGATAGAGAGGAAGGAGGGCGGATTGATAGGAAGAAGGGCGGATAGAGGAAGAAGGGCGGATAGAGATGAAGAAGGGCGGATAGAGAGGAAGAAGGGCGGATAGAGAGGAAGAAGGGGGGATAGAGAGGAAGAAGGGCGGATAGAGAGGAAGAAGGGCGGATACAGAGGAAGAAGGGCGGATAGAGAGGAAGAAGGGCGGTTAGAGAGGAAGGAGGGCGGATAGAGAGGAAGAAGGGCGGATAGAGAGGAAGAAGGGCGGATAGAGAGGAAGAAGGGCCGATAGAGAGGAAGAAGGGCGGATAGAGAGGAAGAAGGGCCGATAGAGAGGAAGAAGGGCGGATAGAGAGGAAGAAGGGCGGATAGGGAGGAAGAAGGGCGGATAGAGAGGAAGAAGGGCGGATAGAGAAGAAGGGCGGATAGAGAGGAAGAAGGGCTGATAGAGAGGAAGGAAGGCGGATTGATAGGAAGAAGGGCGGATAGAGAGGAAGAAGGGGGGATAGAGAGGAAGAAGGGCAGATAAAGAGGAGGAAGAGCGGATAGAGAAGAAGGGCGGATAGAGAGGAAGAAGGGCGGATAGAGAGGAAGGAGGGCGGATTGATAGGAAGAAGGGCGGATAGAGAGGAAGAAGGGCGGATAGAGAGGAAGAAGGGCGGATAGAGAGGAAGAAGGGCGGATAGAGAGGAAGAAGGGCGGATAGAGAGGAAGAAGGGCCGATAGAGAGGAAGAAGGGCGGATAGAGAGGAAGAAGGGCGGATAGAGAGGAAGAAGGGCGGATAGAGATGAAGAAGGGCGGATAGAGAGGAAGAAGGGCGGATAGAGAGGAAGAAGGGGGGATAGAGAGGAAGAAGGGCGGATAGAGAGGAAGAAGGGCGGATAGGGAGGAAGAAGGGCGGATAGAGAGGAAGAAGGGCGGATAGAGAATAAGGGCGGATAGAGAGGAAGAAGGGCGGATTGAGAAGAAGAAGGGCGGATAGAGAGGAAGAATGGCGGATAGAGAAGAAGAAGGGCTGATAGAGAGGAAGGAGGGCGGATTGATAGGAAGAAGGGCGGATAGAGAGGAAGAAGGGCGGATAGAGTGGAAGAATGGCGGATAGAGAAGAAGAAGGGCTGATAGAGAGGAAGGAGGGCGGATTGATAGGAAGAAGGGCGGATAGAGAGGAAGAAGGGCGGATAGAGTGGAAGAAGGGCGGATAAAGAGGAAGAAGAGCGGATAGAGAAGAAGAAGGGCGGATAGAGAGGAAGAAGGGCGGATAGAGAAGAAGAAGGGCGGATAGAGAGGAAGGAGGGCGGATTGATAGGAAGAAGGGCGGATAGAGAAGAAGAAGGGCGGATAGAGAGGAAGAAGGGCGGAAAGAGAGGAAGAAGGGCGGATAGAGTGGACGAAGGGCAGATAGAGAGCAAGAAGGGCGGATAGAGAGGACGAAGGGCGGATAGAGAGGAAGAAGGGCGGATAGAAAGGACGAAGGGCGGATAGAGAGGAAGAAGGGCGGATAGAGAGGAAGAAGGGCGGTTAGAGAGGAAGAAGGGCGGATAGAGAGGAAGAAGGGCGGATAGAGAGGAAGAAGGGCGGATAGAGAGGAAGGAGGGCGGATTGATAGGAAGAAGGGCGGATAGAGAAGAAGAAGGGCGGATAGAGATGAAGAAGGGCGGATAGAGAGGAAGAAGGGCGGATAGAGAGGAAGAAGGGGGGATAGAGAGGAAGAAGGGCGGATAGAGAGGAAGAAGGGCGGATAGAGAGGAAGAAGGGCCGATAGAGAGGAAGAAGGGCGGATAGAGAGGAAGAAGGGCGGATAGAGAGGAAGAAGGGCGGATAGAGAAGAAGAAGGGCGGATAGAGAGGAAGGAGGGCGGATTGATAGGAAGAAGGGCGGATAGAGAAGAAGAAGGGCGGATAGAGAGGAAGAAGGGGGAAAAGAGAGGAAGAAGGGCGGATAGAGTGGACGAAGGGCAGATAGAGAGCAAGAAGGGCGGATAGAGAGGAAGAAGGGCGGATAGAGAGGAAGAAGGGCCGATAGAGAGGAAGAAGGGCGGATAGAGAGGAAGAAGGGCGGATAGAGAGGAAGAAGGGCGGATAGAGAAGAAGAAGGGCGGATAGAGAGGAAGGAGGGCGGATTGATAGGAAGAAGGGCGGATAGAGAAGAAGAAGGGCGGATAGAGAGGAAGAAGGGCGGAAAGAGAGGAAGAAGGGCGGATAGAGTGGACGAAGGGCAGATAGAGAGCAAGAAGGGCGGATAGAGAGGACGAAGGGCGGATAGAGAGGAAGAAGGGCGGATAGAAAGGACGAAGGGCGGATAGAGAGGAAGAAGGGCGGATAGAGAGGAAGAAGGGCGGTTAGAGAGGAAGAAGGGCGGATAGAGAGGAAGAAGGGCGGATAGAGAGGAAGAAGGGCGGATAGAGAGGAAGGAGGGCGGATTGATAGGAAGAAGGGCGGATAGAGAGGAAGAAGGGCGGATAGAGATGAAGAAGGGCGGATAGAGAGGAAGAAGGGCGGATAGAGAGGAAGAAGGGGGGATAGAGAGGAAGAAGGGCGGATAGAGAGGAAGAAGGGCGGATAGAGAGGAAGAAGGGCCGATAGAGAGGAAGAAGGGCGGATAGAGAGGAAGAAGGGCGGATAGAGAGGAAGAAGGGCGGATAGAGATGAAGAAGGGCGGATAGAGAGGAAGAAGGGCGGATAGAGAGGAAGAAGGGGGGATAGAGAGGAAGAAGGGCGGATAGAGAGGAAGAAGGGCGGATAGGGAGGAAGAAGGGCGGATAGAGAGGAAGAAGGGCGGATAGAGAATAAGGGCGGATAGAGAGGAAGAAGGGCGGATTGAGAAGAAGAAGGGCGGATAGAGAGGAAGAATGGCGGATAGAGAAGAAGAAGGGCTGATAGAGAGGAAGGAGGGCGGATTGATAGGAAGAAGGGCGGATAGAGAGGAAGAAGGGCGGATAGAGTGGAAGAAGGGCGGATAAAGAGGAAGAAGAGCGGATAGAGAAGAAGACGGGCGGATAGAGAGGAAGAAGGGCGGATAGAGAAGAAGAAGGGCGGATAGAGAGGAAGAAGGGCGGATAGAGAGGAAGAAGGGCGGATAGAGAGGAAGAAGGGCCGATAGAGAGGAAGAAGGGCGGATAGAAAGGACGAAGGGCGGATAGAGAGGAAGAAGGGCGGATAGAGAGGAAGAAGGGCGGTTAAAGAGGAAGAAGGGCGGATAGAGAGGAAGAAGGGCGGATAGAGAGGAAGAAGGGCGGATAGAGAGGAAGGAGGGCGGATTGATAGGAAGAAGGGCGGATAGAGAGGAAAAAGGGCGGATAGAGATGAAGAAGGTCGGATAGAGAGGAAGAAGGGCGGATAGAGAGGAAGAAGGGGGGATAGAGAGGAAGAAGGGCGGATAGAGGAAGAAGGGCGGATACAGAGGAAGAAGGGCGGATAGAGAGGAAGAAGGGCGGATAGAGAGGAAGAAGGGCGGATAGAGAGGAAGGAGGGCGGATTGATAGGAAGAAGGGCGGATAGAGAGGAAGAAGGGCGGATAGAGAGGAAGAAGGGCGGATAGAGAGGAAGAAGGGCCGATAGAGAGGAAGAAGGGCGGATAGAGAGGAAGAAGGGCCGATAGAGAGGAAGAAGGGCGGATAGAGAGGAAGAAGGGCGGATAGGGAGGAAGAAGGGCTGATAGAGAGGAAGAAGGGCGGAAAGAGAAGAAGAAGGGCTGATAGAGAGGAAGGAGGGCGGATAGAGAGGAAGCAGGGCGGATAGAGAAGAAGAAGGGCGGATAGAGAGGAAGGAGGGCGGATTGATAGGAAGAAGGGCGGATAGAGAAGAAGAAGGGCGGATAGAGAGGAAGAAGGGCGGAAAGAGAGGAAGAAGGGCGGATAGAGAGCAAGAAGGGCGGATAGAGAGGACGAAGGGCGGATAGAGAGCAAGAAGGGCGGATAGAGAGGAAGGAGGGCGGATTGATAGGAAGAAGGGCGGATAGAGAGGAAGAAGGGCGGATAGAGATGAAGAAGGGCGGATAGAGAGGAAGAAGGGCGGATAGAGAGGAAGAAGGGCGGATAGAGAGGAAGAAGGGCGGATAGAGATGAAGAAGGGCGGATAGAGAGGAAGAAGGGCGGATAGAGAGGAAGAAGGGGGGATAGAGAGGAAGAAGGGCGGATAGAGAGGAAGAAGGGCGGATAGGGAGGAAGAAGGGCGGATAGAGAGGAAGAAGGGCGGATAGAGAGGAAGAAGGGCGGATTGAGAAGAAGAAGGGCGGATAGAGAGGAAGAATGGCGGATAGAGAAGAAGAAGGGCTGATAGAGAGGAAGGAGGGCGGATTGATAGGAAGAAGGGCGGATAGAGAGGAAGAAGGGCGGATAGAGTGGAAGAAGGGCGGATAAAGAGGAAGAAGAGCGGATAGAGAAGAAGGGCGGATAGAGAGGAAGAAGGGCGGATAGAGAAGAAGAAGGGCGGATAGAGAGGAAGGAGGGCGGATTGATAGGAAGAAGGGCGGATAGAGAAGAAGAAGTGCGGATAGAGAGGAAGAAGGGCGGAAAGAGAGGAAGAAGGGCGGATAGAGAGGAAGAAGGGCGGAAAGAGAGGAAGAAGGAGTGGACGAAGGGCAGATAGAGAGCAAGAAGGGCGGATAGAGAGGACGAAGGGCGGATAGAGAGGAAGAAGGGCGGATAGAGAGGACTAAGGGCGGATAGAGAGGAAGAAGGGCGGATAGAGAGGAAGAAGGGCGGATAGAGAGGAAGGAGGGCGGATTGATAGGAAGAAGGGCGGATAGAGCAGAAGGGCGGATAAAGAGGAAGAATGGCGGATAGAGAGGAAGAAGGGCGGATAGAGAGGAAGAAGGGCGGATAGAGAGGAAGAAGGGCGGATAGAGAGGAAGGAGGGCGGATTGATAGGAAGAAGGGCGGATAGAGAGGAAGAAGGGCGGATAGGGAGGAAGGAGGGCGGATAGAGAGGAAGAAGGGCGGATAGAGAGGAAGAAGGGCGGATAGAGAAGAAGAAGGGCGGATAGAGAGGAAGGAGGGCGGATAAAGAGGAAGAAGGGCGGATAGAGAAGAAGAAGGGCGGATAGAGAGGAAGGGCGGATAGAGAGGAAGAATGGCGGATAGAGAGGAAGGAGGGCGGATTGATAGGAAGAAGGGCGGATAGAGAGGAAGAAGGGCGGATAGAGAGGAAGAAGGGCGGATAGAGAGGAAGAAGGGCGGATAGAGAGGAAGAAGGGCGGATAGAGAATAAGGGCGGATAGAGAGGAAGAAGGGCGGATAGAGAAGAAGAAGGGCGGATAGAGAGGAAGGATGGCGGATAGAGAAGAAGAAGGGCGGATAGAGAGGAAGAAGGGCGGATAGAGAAGAAGAAGGGCGGATAGAGACGAAGGAGGGCGGATTGATAGGAAGAAGGGCGGATAGAGAAGAAGAAGGGCGGATAGAGAGGAAGAAGGGCGGAAAGAGAGGAAGAAGGGCGGATAGAGTGGACGAAGGGCAGATAGAGAGCAAGAAGGGCGGATAGAGAGGACGAAGGGCGGATAGAGAGGAAGAAGGGCGAATAGAAAGGACGAAGGGCGGATAGAGAGGAAAAAGGGCGGATAGAGAGGAAGAAGGGCGGATAGAGAGGAAGGAGGGCGGATTGATAGGAAGAAGGGCGGATAGAGAGGAAGAAGGGCGGATAGAGCAGAAGAAGGGCGGATAGAGAGGAAGAAGGGCGGATAGAGACGAAGAAGGGCGGATAGAGAGGAAGAAGGGCGGATAGAGAGGAAGAAGGGCGGATAGAGAGGAAGGAGGGCGGATTGATAGGAAGAAGGGCGGATAGAGAGGAAGAAGGGCGGATAGGGAGGAAGAAGGGCGGATAGAGAGGAAGAAGGGCGGATAGAGAGGAAGAAGGGCGGATAGAGAAGAAGAAGGGCGGATAGAGAGGAAGGAGGGCGGATTGATAGGAAGAAGGGCGGATAGAGAAGAAGAAGGGCGGATAGAGAGGATGAAGGGCGGATATAGAGGATGAAGGGCGGATATAGAGGAAGAAGGGCGGATAGAGAAGAAGAAGGGCGGATAGAGAGGAAGAAGGGCGGATAGAGAGGAAGAATGGCGGATAGAGAGGAAGGAGGGCGGATAGAGAGGAAGAAGGGCGGATAGAGAGGAAGAAGGGCGGATAGAGAGGAAGAAGGGCGGATAGAGAGGAAGAAGGGCGGATAGAGAGGAAGAAGGGCGGATAGAGAGGAAGAAGGGCGGATAGAGAGGAAGACGGGCGGATATAGAGGAAGAAGGGCGGATAGAGAGGAAGAAGGGCGGATAGAGAGGAAGAAGGGCGGATAGAGAGGAAGAAGGGCGGATAGAGAGGAAGAAGACCGAATAGAGAGGAAGAAGGGCGGATAGAGAGGACGAAGGGCGGATAGAGAGGAAGAAGGGCGGATAGAGAGGAAGAAGGGCGGATAGAGAGGAAGAAGGGCGGATAGAGAGGAAGAAGGGCGGATAGAGAAGAAGAAGGGCGGATAGAGAGGAAGAAGGGCGGATAGAGAGGCAGAAGGGCGGATAGAGAGGAAGAAGGGCGGATTGGGGGGGAGATGGGCAGATAGAGAGGAAGAAGGGCGGATAGAGGGGATGAAGGGCGGATAGAGAGGAAGAAGGGCGGATAGAGAGGAAGAAGGGCGGATAGAGAGGAAGAAGGGCGGATAGAGAGGAAGAAGACCGAATAGAGAGGAAGAAGGGCGGATAGAGAGGAAGAAGGGCGGATAGAGAGGAAGAAGGGCGGATAGAGAGGAAGAAGGGCGGATTGAGAGGAAGAAGACCGAATAGAGAGGAAGAAGGGCGGATAGAGAGGACGAAGGGCGGATAGAGAGGAAGAAGGGCGTATAGAGAGGAAGAAGGGCGGATAGAGAGGAAGAAGGGCGGATAGAGAGGAAGAAGGGCGGATAGAGAAGAAGAAGGGCGGATAGAGAGGAAGAAGGGCGGATAGAGAGGCAGAAGGGCGGATAGAGAGGAAGAAGGGCGGATTGGGGGGGAGATGGGCAGATAGAGAGGAAGAAGGGCGGATAGAGGGGATGAAGGGCGGATAGAGAGGAAGAAGGGCGGATAGAGAGGAAGAAGGGCGGATAGAGAGGAAGAAGGGCGGATAGAGAGGAAGAAGACCGAATAGAGAGGAAGAAGGGCGGATAGAGAGGACGAAGGGCGGATAGAGAGGAAGAAGGGCGGATAGAGAGGAAGAAGGGCGGATAGAGAGGAAGAAGGGCGGATAGAGAGGAAGAAGGGCGGATAGAGAAGAAGAAGGGCGGATAGAGAGGAAGAAGGGCGGATAGAGAGGCAGAAGGGCGGATAGAGAGGAAGAAGGGCGGATAGGCGGGGAGATGGGCAGATAGAGAGGAAGAAGGGCGGATAGAGGGGATGAAGGGCGGATAGAGAGGAAGAAGGGAGGATAGAGAGGAAGGAGGGCGGATTGATAGGAAAAAGGGCGTATAGAGAGGAAGAAGGGCGGATAGAGAAGAAGAAGGGCGGATAGAGAGGAAGAAGGGCGGATAGAGAGGAAGAAGGGCGGATAGAGGAGATGAAGGGCGGATAGAGTGGAGAAGGGCGGATAGAGAGGAAGGAGGGCGGATAGAGAGGAAGGGGGGCGGATAGAGAGGAAGACGGGCGGATAGAGGGGATGAAGGGCGGATAGAGAGGAAGACGGGCGGATAGAGAGGAAGAAGGGCGGATAGAGAGGAAGAAGGGCGGATATAGAGGAAGAAGGGCGGATAGAGAGGAAGAAGGGCGGATAGAGAGGAAGAAGGGCGGATAGAGGAGATGAAGGGCGGATAGAGTGGAAGGAGGGCGGATAGAGAGGAAGGAGGGCGGATAGAGAGGAAGGGGGGCGGATAGAGAGGAAGAAGGGCGGATAGAGTGGAAGGAGGGCGGATAGAGAGGAAGGAGGGCGGATAGAGAGGAAGGGGGGCGGATAGAGAGGAAGACGGGCGGATAGAGAGGAAGAAGGGCGGATAGAGAGGAAGACGGGCGGATAGAGAGGAAGAAGGGCGGATAGAGAGGAAGAAGGGCGGATAGAGAGGAAGAAGGGCGGATAGAGAGGAAGAAGGACGGATAGAGAGGAAGAAAGGCGGATAGAGAGGAAGAAGACCGAATAGAGAGGAAGAAGGGCGGATAGAGAGGACGAAGGGCGGATAGAGAGGAAGAAGGGCGGATAGAGAGGAAGAAGGGCGGATAGAGAGGAAGAAGGGCCGATAGAGAGGAAGAAGGGCGGATAGAGAAGAAGAAGGGCGGATAGAGAGGCAGAAGGGCGGGTAGAGAGGAAGAAGGGCGGATAGGGGGGGAGATGGGCAGATAGAGAGGAAGAAGGGCGGATAGAGGGGATGAAGGGCGGATAGAGAGGAAGAAGGGAGGATAGAGAGGAAGGAGGGCGGATTGATAGGAAAAAGGGCGTATAGAGAGGAAGAAGGGCGGATAGAGAAGAAGAAGGGCGGATAGAGAGGAAGAAGGGCGGATAGAGAGGAAGAAGGGCGGATAGAGGAGATGAAGGGCGGATAGGGTGGAAGGAGGGCGGATAGAGAGGAAGGAGGGCGGATAGAGAGGAAGGGGGGCGGATAGAGAGGAAGACGGGCGGATAGAGGGGATGAAGGGCGGATAGAGAGGAAGACGGGCGGATAGAGAGGAAGAAGGGCGGATAGAGAGGAAGAAGGGCGGATATAGAGGAAGAAGGGCGGATAGAGAGGAAGAAGGGCGGATAGAGAGGAAGAAGGGCGGATAGAGAGGAAGAAGGGCGGATAGAGAGGAAGAAGACCGAATAGAGAGGAAGAAGGGCGGATAGAGAGGACGAAGGGCGGATAGAGAGGAAGAAGGGCGGATAGAGAGGAAGAAGGGCGGATAGAGAGGAAGAAGGGCGGATAGAGAGGCAGAAGGGCGGATAGAGAGGAAGGAGGGCGGATAGAGAGGAAGAAGGGCTCATAGAGAGGAAGAAGGGCGGATAAAGAGGAAGAAGGGCGGATAGAGAGGAAGAAGGGCGGATAGAGGGGATGAAGGGCGGATAGAGAAAAAGAAGGGCGGATAGAGAGGAAGAAGGGCGGATAGAGAGGAAGGAGGGCGGAGAGAGAGGAAGAAGGGAGGGTAGAGAGGAAGAAGGGCGGATAGTGAGGAAGGAGGGCGGATAGAGAGGAATACGGGCGGATAGAGAGGAAGAAGGGCGGATAGAGAGGAAGAAGGGCAGATAGAGAAGAAGAAGGGCGGATAGAGAGGAAGAAGGGCGGATAGAGAGGCAGAAGGGCGGATAGAGAGGAAGAAGGGCGGATAGGGGGGGAGATGGGCAGATAGAGAGGAAGAAGGGCGGATAGAGGGGATGAAGGGCGGATAGAGAGGAAGAAGGGAGGATAGAGAGGAAGGAGGGCGGATTGATAGGAAAAAGGGCGTATAGAGAGGAAGAAGGGCGGATAGAGAAGAAGAAGGGCGGATAGAGAGGAAGAAGGGCGGATAGAGAGGAAGAAGGGCGGATAGAGGAGATGAAGGGCGGATAGAGTGGAAGGAGGGCGGATAGAGAGGAAGGAGGGCGGATAGAGAGGAAGGGGGGCGGATAGAGAGGAAGACGGGCGGATAGAGGGGATGAAGGGCGGATAGAGAGGAAGACGGGCGGATAGAGAGGAAGAAGGGCGGATAGAGAGGAAGAAGGGCGGATATAGAGGAAGAAGGGCGGATAGAGAGGAAGAAGGGCGGATAGAGAGGAAGAAGGGCGGATAGAGAGGAAGAAGGGCGGATAGAGAGGAAGAAGACCGAATAGAGAGGAAGAAGGGCGGATAGAGAGGACAAAGGGCGGATAGAGAGGAAGAAGGGCGGATAGAGAGGAAGAAGGGCGGATAGAGAGGAAGAAGGGCAGATAGAGAGAAAGAAGGGCGGATAGAGAGGCAGAAGGGCGGATAGAGAGGAAGAAGGGCTGATAGAGAGGAAGAAGGGCGGATAAAGAGGAAGAAGGGCGGATAGAGAGGAAGAAGGGCGGATAGAGGGGATGAAGGGCGGATAGAGAAGAAGAAGGGCGGATAGAGAGGAAGAAGGGCGGATAGAGAGGAAGGAGGGCGGAGAGAGAGGAAGAAGGGCGGATAGAGAGTGAGGAGGGACGGATAGAGAGGAAGAAGGGCGGATTCATAGGAAGAAGGGCGGAAAGAGAGTAAGAAGGGCGGATAGGGAGGAAGAAGGGCGGATAGAGAGGAAGAAGGGCAGATAGAGGGGATGAAGGGGGGATAGAGAGGAAGATGGGGGGATAGGGAGGAAGGAGGGCGGATAGAGAGGAAGGTGCGGGGATTGATAGGAAGAAGGGCGGATAGAGAGGGAGAAGGGCGGATAGAGAAGAAGAAGGGCGGATAGAGAGGAAGAAGGGCGGATAGAGAGGAAGAAGGGAGGGTAGAGAGGAAGAAGGGCGGATAGAGAGGAAGGAGGGCGGATAGAGAGGAAGGAGGGCGGATTGATATGAAGAAGGGCGGACAGAGAGTAAGAAGTGTCGATAGGGAGGAAGAAGGGTGGATAGAGAGGAAGAAGGGCGGATAGAGAAGAAGAAGGGCGGATAGAGAGGAAGAAGGGCGGATAGAGAGGAAGAAGGGCGGATAGAGTGGAAGAAGGGCGGATAGAGAGGAAGGATGGCGGATAGTGAGGAAAGAGGGCGGATTGATAGGAAGCAGGGCGGATAGAGAGGAAGAAGGGCGGATAGAGAGGAAGAAGGGCGGATAGAGAGGAAGTAGGGCGGATAGAGGGGATGAAGGGCGGATAGAGAGGAAGAAGGGCGGATAGAGGAAGGAGGGCGGATAGAGAGGAAGGAGGGCGGATAGAGAGTAAGACGGGCGGATAGAGGGGATGAAGGGCGGATATAGAGGAAGACGGGTGGACAGAGAGGAAGAAGGGCGGATAGAGAGGAAGAAGGGCGGATAGAGAGGAAGAAGGGCGGATAGAGAGGAAGAAGGGCGGATAGAGAGCAAGAAGGGCGGATAGAGAGGACGAAGGGCGGATAGAGAGGAGGAAGGGCGGATAGAGAGGAAGAAGGGTGGATAGAGAGGAAGAAGGGCGGATAGAGAAGAAGAAGGGCGGATAGAGAGGAAGAAGGGCGGATAGAGAGGAAGAAGGGCGGATAGAGAGGAAGAAGGGCGGATAGAGAGGAGGAAGGGCGGATAGAGGGGATGAAGGGCGGATAGAGAAGAAGAAGGGCGGATAGAGAGGAAGAAGGGCAGATAGACAGGAAGGAGGGCGGATGGAGAGGAAGAAGGGCGGATAGAGAGTGAGGAGGGACGGATAGAGAGGAAGAAGGGCGGATTCATAGGAAGAAGGGCGGATAGAGAGTAAGAAGGGCGGATAGGGAGGAAGAAGGGCGGATAGAGAGAGGAAGGAGGGCGGAAAGAGGGGATAAAGGGCGGATAGAGAGTAAGAAGGGCGGATAGAGAGGAAGGAGGGCGGATAGAGAGGAAGGAGGGCGGATTGATAGGAAGATGGGCAGATAGAGAGGAAGAAGGGCGGATAGAGAGGAAGAAGGGCGGGTAGAGAGGAAGAAGGGCGGATAGAGTGGAAGGAGGATTGATAGGAAGAAGGGCGGAGAGAGTAAGAAGGGCGGATAGGGAGGAAGAAGGGCGGATATAGAGGAGGGAGGGCGGATAGAGAGGAAGAAGGGCGAACAAAGAGGAAGAATGGCGGATAGAGAGGAAGAAGGGCGGATAGAGGGGATGAAGGGCACATAGGGAGGAAGAAGGGCGGATAGAGAGGAAGACGGGTGGATAGAGAGGGAGAAGGGCGGATAGAGAGGAAGAAGAGAGGATAGAGAGGAAGAGGGCGGATAGAGAGGAAGGAGGGCGGATTGATAGGAAGAAGGGCGGATAGAGAGGAAGAAGGGCGGATTGATAGAGAGAAGGGCGGATAGAGAGGAAGACGGGCAGATAGAGAGGAAGAAGGGCGGGTAGAGAGGAAGAAGGGCGGATACAGAAAAGGAAGGGCGGGAAGATAGGAAGAAGGGCGGATAGAGAGTGAGGAGGGACGGATAGAGAGGAAGAAGGGCGGATTGATAGGAAGAAGGGCGGATAGAGAGTAAGAAGGGCGGATAGGGAGGAAGAAGGGCGGACAGAGAGGAAAAAGGGCGGATAGAGAGGAAGAAGGGCGGATAGAGAGGAAGAAGGCGGATAGAGAGGAAGATGGGGGAGGGAGGTAAGGTCAGATGGGGGAGGGAGGTAAGGTCGGATGGGGAAGGGAAACCTCTTAGAGGGGGAAACGAGGTGATACAGAGGGGAATTAAATGACTTGACGTCCCATGAGCACCGCGAGGGTGCGGTGAGAGGGGAAAGGCGGGTCTTGTATTGGGGGGAAGGTAGGTGACGTAATAGTGCGATGGGAGGTTATGCGCGAAGGAGGAAAGGGAGGTTATGTCAAATGGGGAAGGGAGGTGAGGTCAGAGGTGCAAATGAGGGAGGGAGGTGAGGTCAGATGGGGAAGGGAGGTAAGGTCAGATTGGGGAGGGAGGTGAGGTCAGATGGGGGGAGGGAGGTAAGGTCAGATTGGGGAGGGAGATGAGGTCAGATGGGGAAGGGAGGTAAGGTCAGATGGGGGAGGGAGGTAAGGTCAGATGGTGGAGGGAGGTGAGGTCAGATGGGGGAGGGAGGTAAGGTCAGATGGGGAAGGGAGGTAAGGTCAGATGGGGAAGGGAGGTGAGGTCAGATGGGGGAGGGAGGTAAGGTCAGATGGGAAAGGGAGGTAAGGTCAGATGGGGAAGGGAGGTGAGGTCAGACGGGGGAGGGAGGTAAGGTCAGATGGGGAAGGGATGTAAGGTCAGTGGGGGGAGGGAGGTAAGGTCGAATGGGGGAGGGAGGTGAGGTCAGATGGGGAAGGGAGGTGAGGTCAGTGGGGGAAGGAGGTAAGGTCAGAGGGGGCAGGGAGGTAAGGTCAGTGGGGGGAGGGAGGTAAGGTCAGATAAGGGAGGGAGGCAAGGTCAGTGGGGGGAGGGAGGTAAGGTCAGATGGGGGAGGGAGGTGAGGTCAGATGGGTGAGGGAGGTGAGGTCACAGGGGGAAGGGAGGTGATAGTAGCCCCAAGAGCATAATGACACCACTATCCGTGGACCTCTATGTGTCAAGCTAGGCCCTCTCAACGCCCCAACAACTGAAACTCCCAACCATCCCCACCTATGCCCCGCTCTGTGTCCCATGCTGCAGGGTGCGTAGAGATGTATCGCTGGGATCAGAGACAGCGTCGTAGGGTCTGGCTGGGGTTTAGGGTGGGACTTGAAGGAGAGGAGGATGACGAGGATGGTATGGAGGGACAGGAGGGTCAAACATACTCACAGGCATCCCGATCCTCTAGCAGCAGCGGTCGTGTACCCGGTCGCACAGTGGTTGCTAGCAGTTGGCAGCCCATTTGAAGGGTGACCCGGCATAGGGTGGTTCAGCCAACAGGAGAGCCGCCTCTGATTTTCTATGCTAAGGAGTGTTGGTCAATGGCAGAATTTGCCAGTGAATATCCAAAGCAACACTATGTGCTCGAACAGTGGGCTATGTATCTTCTTAGTTTGATGAAGGAGAGTGACGAGGCAGACGAGAGGGTTACTTTTGAGAATGTCCTGCGTATCTGTCTTGGAAAGAACACGACAGAGGATGCAGACGGGCATCCGATTGTGGCTAAAACCCACCGATTTCGTTGTTACATACAGTACTCCACTCTGCTACGGGACCACACTTTTACACGAGATACTCTGCCATGGCTGGTGTATGTAGTCATAGGGTCACTTTATCCGGAGCTTACAGGGGAAGTTTATGTTGGGTGTAGCCAGTCTGATGTAGATTGGTTCGCGTCATCGACAATCCCGAGCGAGATCGACTTCAGCGTGAGAAGCAGAGATGGTATGCGCGCGACGGAAGCAAGCTTGGTCGAGACACAAGAGTCGCGAGTTGGGTGAAATCATTTAGTGAGATGGTGTTGTTTGTAATTGCTTGCAATAACGTTTTCAAGCTGACAAGATGGTCTTCTATCCTACAATCATAATTACTCCATGCCGGAACGCACATGCAGCAACATGATGTATTGTCTTGAAAACAAAAATGTGCGTGCTGAAACCTAGCACCTTTGAAAACAATTCACTAATAGCGTCACGAAGACACAAGTCAAAGCTTGAAACTGGGAGACAGCTTTACCAAAGCAAACGGTGTTGGCAAGTATAAAAAACCACAACCAGCCATGGGTCAATATTAATCCAGGACACTTTCCACTTCCCCACTCTCTGGGAGGCCGCGAACTGCTTCCCAACCATCCGCTGTCACCACACGTCTGCTGCCCCGCTCTTGGCTTGGCAACACTCTGCTGCCGCCACACCCCTGCCCCGCCCACAGCTTCGCCACACGTGCAGGAGGGGAGTGAGATGTGATGGGAAATGTGGGCGAGAGGTGATGGCACGGGGAAAGGGAGGAGATGGTGAAGGGTGAAGGTAAGGTGATGGCATGGGGGGATGAGAGGGGATGGAAGGGAGAATGGAAGGCGAGGTTAGTGCTAGAGGGGGAAGGGAGGTTATGATAAAGGGGGAAGGGTTTTAATGATAAACAGTGGAAGGAGGTTATGATAGACTGGGAAGAGAGGTTATGCTAGAGGGGGAAGGGTGGAGAATTTAGCGGGGGAAGGGAGGTGAGTTCAGCGGGGGAAGGGACCTCGGTTCAGCGGGGAAAGGGAAAGGAGGTGAGGTCAAAGGAGGGTTAAGAGGGAGAATCTTGAGAGGGAATGAATGTGGATGTCAGAGAGGCAATGGATGTGATGGTCAGAGGGAAATGAATGTGATCTCAGAGAGGGAATGAATGTGATGGTCAGAGGGGAATGGATGTGATGTCAGAAAGGGAATGAATGTGAAGGTCAGAGGGGAATGAATGTGATGTCGGAGAGGGAATGAAGATGATGGTCAGAGGGGAATGAATGTGATGTCAGAGAGGGAATGAAGGTGATGGTCAGAGAGGGAATGAATGTGATGTCAGAGAGGGAATGAAGGTGATGGTCAGAGGGGAATGAATGTGATGTCAGAGAGGGAATGAAAGTGATGGTCAGAGGGGAATTAATGTGATGTCAGAGAGAGAATGAAGATGATGGTCCGAGGGGAATGAATGTGATGTGAGAGAGGGATTGAATGTGATGGTCAGAGGGGGATGAATGTGACGTCAGAGAGGGAATGAATGTGATGTCAGAGAGGGATTGAAGGTGATGGTCAAAGGGGAATGAATGTGATGTCAGAAAGGGAATGAATGTGATGGTCGGAGGGGAATGAATGTGATGTCAGAGAGGGAAGGAATGTGATGGTCAGAGGGGAATGGATGTGATGTCAGAGAGGGAATGAAGGTGATGGTCAGAGGGGAATGAATGTGATGTCAGAGAGGGAATGAATGTGATGTCAGAGAGGGAATGAAGGTGATGGTCAAAGTGGAATGAATGTGATGTCAGAGAGGGAATGAATGTGATGGTCGGAGGGGAATGAATGTGATGTCAGAGAGGGAATGAATGTGATGGTCAGAGGGGAATGAATGTGATGTCAGAGAGGGAAGGAATGTGATGGTCAGAGGGGAATGGATGTGATGTCAGAGAGGGAATGAAGGTGATGGTCAGAGGGGAATGAATGTGATGTCAGAGAGGGAATGAATGTGATGTCAGAGAGGGAATGAAGGTGATGGTCAGAGGGGGAAGGGACGATAGGGCATGGGGGAAGGGGGGAGATTAGAGAGGGGTAATGGATGTTTCCGCTCGGGAGTAGGAAGGTGAGGTCAGCAGGGAAAAGGGAGAGATGGCCAAGGGGAGAGGCAAGGTGATGACATGGGGGGATGATAGGGGATGGAAGGGGGAATGAGATGTTGACCGTTGGCCAGTCTATGAATGGTGCTGGCTGGGGGCGAAGAGAGGACATACCAGGTGACGACAATGGGAGATGAATGATGATGGCAAGGTGGGATGAGAAGATATTTCAAGTCGGGTGAGAGTGGATGACAATGTGAGATATGGGGTGATGGTAGGGGGGGGAAGTGAGGTGATGAAACGTGAATGCAGCATGTACGTGGGTGTTTGAAGAACTTACTATTCGACACCATGCATATTCGGTAATGCCTGCTGGTTATTACGTTCCAAGGTCATGCGTGAAGTCCATAAATATGTAGAGGGGACAAGACGTTCTGAATGTGAGGTCAGATATTGGTTACACCTTTGAACAAAATGAGAGTCTACAACGTTCCATATGTACATACCGCGAGGGAATTTTGCGTCGTCTTTTGCACGGAGTCCGATCATCTCGTACAATAACTTCATGCGGTCGGCTGGTGGGACGTGTCGCCTGAATTGGGATGGGATGATCACAGACCACAGAGATCAAACTTCACTCTTTCGAAACAAAATGATGTAGATAGGCACCATAAGAAAGAAAAAAAGAAAATGGTGACAACACGACCCACCACTAACCAAGCGGTAGAGTCCGCCAGACTCTATTGGGGCGCGCGTTGGTGCGGGGACGACGGCGTATACGTGCCCCCGAAGCGGAATCACACATGCTTGCAGGGCTCGTGAACATGAATGCATCGGGCGTTGGCGTCAGCGGCAAAAATGGCGTGCGCACCGGAGCGCAACTCCCAGCACGAGGTGGCGTCGAGGGAAGTCGACTGGGTGTGAAACTAATTTGAGGCGCCGCGTTCTCGTCCCCTAGAGGCGCCCCCAACCTCACTGCAGCCTCCTCTACATCTTCGGGAACCACCTCAATTCCAACCACGTCCTCTTCGCCCACCCTCACCTCGTCCTCTACCTCGTACTCCACCTCCTCCTCCACACTCACTTCCCCGATCAGTGGCTCTCCCCCTTGATCCTCGACTCTAATGCTCTCAGCGTCGCCTCCACCCACCCTTATCTTGGACCATCGCTCCAAGACCTCATCCACCCAACGCCAATCCATTGGACCAAGCACCCGATCTTTCGTCCCACGCCGCACTCGTGTTACCTTGCGTACGCGTGTCCGCCACTCCCTAACAACCCTCTCCACTGCGTGGTTCTAGTGCAGCACACTCAACGCCACCCGAGCCGGCATACTGCCAAGGAACGCTATACGTTTCGGCGCGTACTTCGTGATCAACGAGTGAAATGACTCGTTCATCCAGTTTGATGCCCCTAACACGTAGCCATGAGACCTGGGCCACAATGAACCGACAACCACTCTTTGAATGCCTTGTGAGTCGCTGAACCCGGTTCATACAGCGCACTTTCCTCCCCCCCCCCTTCCCTAACACAATGTGGGACCACACCATCACGCTGACACCCAGCATGTATGCCCGCCCAATGGTCTCCGCACCGCCCAAACTCATCAGACACTTCTTGGGGAGTCATTGGATGACCTTCTTCTGCCTTTGTTGCAGCGCGCATCATGCAATGGTGGAATTGAATACAAAAGCGCTGACCAACAGTCACATCAGCCTCTTCACCCTCCGTGTCCTCGCTGTTACACCCCTCTTGAGCACATTTCCGCTTCCCAGTTTTCCTCTCCTGCCACCTTGGGGTACGACGTGAAGCGACATTTTCCAACGGTCCAGGCTCCCCCGCCATGCCTTTCTCCCCCGCCACTCCTGGATCCCCCACCACTCTAGGCTCCCACGCCACTCTAGGCTCCCCCTCCACTCCAGGCACCTCCGATGAACCAGGCTCCCTAGTATCCAGGGCCTCCCCCCCCACTCCAGGCTCGACCCCCACTCCAGGCACCCCCGCCACTCCAGGCTCCTCCGCCACTCCAGGATCCCCCGCCACTCCAAGCTCCCCCGCCACTCCAGGCTCCTCCGCCACTCCAGGCTCCCCCGCCACTCCAGGCTCCTCCGCCACTCCAGGCTCCCCCGCCACTCCAGGCCCCTCCGCCACTCCAGGCTCCCCCGCCACTCCAGGCTCCTCCGCTACTCGAGGCTCCCCCGCCACTCCAGGCTCCCCCGCCACTCCAGGCCCCTCCGCCACTCCAGGCTCCCCCGCCACTCCAGGCTCCTCTGCCACTTCAGGCTCCCCCGCCACTCCAGGCCTTCCCGCCACTATAGGCTCTACCGCCTGCCCATCTCGCCCCATCTCTGGATCGCCTGACTCCACTTCGCCTGAATGTGTTCAAGAAATTGTGCAACGCATTAGAGACAAAGTATTCATTCATCTGTGAAAGATAGAACGAGGAATGAGCAGGTGAGTACAAGTAGGAAAACCTAAAAGTGTTGTACCCCGTATTGACTACCCCACTATAGCCTACACAGACTATGTCATATAAGTTTGACACACCCCCATACGCAAAGTGGGGGAGAACAAGAGGTCACAAGACCAGTCAAGAAAAGCAAAGCAAGCTCAGGGTGGATCACAACGTCACCACGCATTCTGAGCACAAGCAAATGGCCACAACGCCAGTTCACATGCAGAGTTATATAAACGAGAACAAGCAGCATAGTGATCACAACCTAGCAAGTGTAAGCATGCAGGTATATGTATAGAGATCACAGTACAAGCAAAGTTAAGAAGTGAGCAAGTGAGGCCAAGTGGGCACAAGGCCTAGAACAGTACAGAAACGCTGATGATCACAAGGCTGAAGTGCCTTGGTGAAGATATCAGCAGTGTTGGCCTGAGTGGCCACATAAGCAAGACAAAGCTGACCACGCTGCTGCAACTCTCAAGCAAGGAAGTAACGCAGAGCGATGTGCTTCGTTCTGTGCTCCAGTCTGTGCTCCTGACACAAGGCAATCATGGCCTTGTTGTCGACGTACAGAACTGGAGGAGAACGAGGCGGCTCTCCCAGGTCGGTCAGCAGGTAGGTGAGCTAGCGTAACTCCTGTGCAGCCATGGCCCCTGCGTAGATCTCAGCCTCACAGCTGGAGCTGAGAACAGAAGACGAGCGGGTAGACCGCCACGAAACAGAGCCGGAGCCAAGGCTGAAAGTGTAACCCTGTGACGACCGCTGCATAGCCAAGTCGTCAGCCCAGAAAGCGTTTGCATGACCAGTGAGGACAACTCGAGCCCGTCCACCAAGCACGAGCCCCATGCCCAACGTACTGCACAAGTAGCGCAACACCCTCTTAGCGGCATCCATGTGCTCCTTCCGGTGTCTCCCAGGAGCAACATAGCGTGCCAGAATGCTAAGAGGGTATGCAAGGTCAGGTCGAGTGCAGGTCATCAGGTACATGAGGCCGCCCACAAGCTCTGGATACTGGCCACTCGGCTCTACGGACTCATCCAAAGGTAGAGCTGAGAGCAAGTGGCGAGTAGGCAGAGGAGTGGACTGTGGAGAGGAGTACATGAAGCCGAAGCGCTGAAGGACCTGCTGCACCATGTGTGACTGAGTCAAGGTAATGGTGCGCTGTGCTCTGTCCCGGGTGATCTGCAAGCCAAGATAGCTACGCAGCTCACAAAGGTCTGTGCACGTGTGTCTCTTCTGCAGCTCCGACTTCATGTGGGCGAGTACCACAGTGTCAGCAGTAGCAAAGACCAAGTCGTGGACGTACACGAGGACGTAGAATGGCGGCAGAGAAGTGTCGGTGCGTAGAAACAGCGACGGGTCAGCAGTGGAAGGAGCAAACCCAAGAGCCGCAAGCGTCGTCCTCAGTGTGTCGTGCCACTCACGAGGCGCCTGGCGGAGACCGTAAACTGGCCGCCAGAGGCTCCACTGGGTACCAGGAGGAAACGACCCAGTGAAGCCAGGTGGGCGGCGCAGCCAGATCTCCTCGTGCAGGCTGCCCTGTAGGGAGGCTGTGCTGAAGTCAAGAGAGTGAAGCTCGTAGTCACGCTGAGCGGCGACGTGCAGCAGTACCCGAAGATTGGTCATCTTCGGGGTAGGGGAGAAGGTCTGGAAGAAGTCAACTTTCTCTCGCTGACTGAAGCCTTGTGCAACGTAACGCGCCTTGAAGACAGCCGGAGAACCCGGCGGCCGCTTCACTCTGAAGATCCACATGCAACTGACGATGTTCGCCCCAGGTGGGGGAACCTCGTCGACGTAGGTGCCTGTGGACTTCCAGGAAGTCATCTCTGCGTCCATGGTTGTCTGCCACTGAGAGGAGTAGGGACTCTCTATCGCCTCTGCGTAAGAGCGCGGGGTCGGGATGTCTGGTGCATCCGGGTCTCCCTCAGGTGCAAGCAGCATGGACACAAGATGAGGTACAGCAACGGCAAAATACTCAAACTCCTCATGTCTGTCCTCAAGGACATCTGGCCAAGAGCACACTCAACCCCGACCGACGGAGGACAGACAGACCCAGACTCAGCAACAAGACTAGCGGCGTAGTCTAGACGACAGGCAGCAGCAAAGTCAACAAGCTCAGCAACTAGGGCAGACGCAGCAGTGGACTCAAACGAAGGGTCAGTGACAACAGTAGCGAGAAGACGCGTGACAGTAGGACTGGCAGCACGAGCAAGGTCCGACGGCGGGTCAGGGACATCAGGAAGAGAGGACGCAGGAGGAGATGGTAGAGGGACATGCTGTGGAGCAGTGGAAGGACGAAGTGCCATCTGGTGCGTGCTTGGAACAGCAGGGGAACGCTGACGCGGAACACGACGACCAGTGCAAACATCGCGAACAGGCGACTCAGGACGAGACGCAGGCGACACAGGACGAGACTCAGGCAACGCAGGACGAGACTCAGGCTCACGACGCTCCGTAAGACCTCTAGTCGGCCCAGAGTATGGAGAAGGACCAGGCAGTGGAGAGGCTGGCTGTAACGGCGACTGCGACTGGTCAGGCGGTGGACTCAGTAAGGGAGGAGTAGGACCAGTTGAAGGCAGGAGGCCAAGAACCTGCTGAAGGAGCGGAACCTAGTACGGCCGCGACCGCGCAGGGCCCCCAGAAACAGCAGAGACAGCACCAGTACCCCCAGCTCCAGGGTCTCCATCTCCAACTCCCGCAGCACCACAAGCTCCAGCACCTCCAGCAGCTCCAGCTCCAGCGCCTCCAGCTCCAACTCCTGTAGTACCACCAGCCCCGGCAGCTCCAGTCCCTCCAGTACGAGCACCTCCGGGACCAGCGGCTCCAGCACCTCCTGCAGCTCCAGCACCAGCAGCACCTCCAACTCCAGCAGCTCCAGTACTCCCAGCAGCTCCAGCCCCAGTAGCACCTCGCTGGAGTCTCCAGCAGCGAGCAAACCACTCGCGCAGCTGGGGTGGAGAGAGAGGCTCCCGCCGAGACGAGGCACTTGCAGGAACTCCAGCAGACTCATCACCCCCAGCAACCACAGGCTCAGCACCCCCAGGCTCGGCACCCCCAGACTCAGCATTCCCAGGCACAGCACCCCCAGGCTCCGCACGCTCAGGCTCAGCACCCCCAGGCTCCGCACGCTCAGGCTCAGCACCCCCAGGCTCCGCACGCGCAGGCTCAGCACCCCCAGCAGCACCACCCCCAGGAGCAGCACCAGAGTCAGCCGCTACCTCGACAGGCTCGACAGCGTCTACCAGAGACACACCTGAGGAAGCAGGACCATGAGGGGGGAGGGGGGCTACCGGAGGAGGACCTGGCGCAAGGAAGAGCGGCGGGGGGGGGGGGGAGAGAGGCAGTGCGGTAGGGGAAGAGATGGTTAAAGGGAACCGACTCGTCGAACGTGACGTCCTGAGAGGGCAAGACACGGCGCGAGGTGGGGTGGTAAAACTGCCAGCCATGTGCGTCAGGGACAAAGCCAAGGAAGACGCAGGGAATAATGCATGCGGAGAGCTTGTCCGCAGTAGTATCGCGGACAAAGGCACGAGAACCCCAGACCCGGAACACCGACGCATCGCCAACCTTCCAGGTCCACCGCAGTGTGGGCGAGGTCTCCGGCAAGGAGACACGGGGCCAGAGGTTGAGCTGATGCGCAGCGTACTGGACCGCAAACGGCCACAGAAAATGGGGGGCAGCCGCATGGACCATGGAGGTACGAGCGACCTCCATGACTAAGCCAATGCAGCGCTCAGCAACCCCATTCTGCTGCGATGAGGCCGGAAGCATGAACGTCTTGCGAATGCCCTCCCCACGACAAAAGTCCCGCAGAAGGTCGAAGGAAAACTCACCACCCTGTCAGAGTGGAGACGCAGGACGGGAAGGTCCGTCTCGAATCGCTCGCGGAGCTGGAGACGAACAGCGCGGATCCAAGGGATCAAAACATCAGGGACATCACCCTTGGTGCGCAAGGGGAAGACCGTGGTGTAACGCGTGTAGTCGTCCACGACCAGCAAAAAGTACCGCTCGCGGGCTTGTCTACGGACGCCGGCTGGGCCCCACACGTCCACGTGGAGGGTCTGCAGGGGAGCAGTCGTCGGGGGGAACGAGGATGAGTGAGGAGCGGCGCGCTGCCGCCCCTCGACACAGGGAAGACAGGGAGGAGCAGGCGAGGGCGGCAGAGGAGGCAGAGTCTCTGGAAGGCCAGAGACAAGGAGACGTCGGTGCATGCTACGAAGGCGCTGCACCGAGGGGTGACCAAGACGGTAGTGCCAAAGGACAGTCCAAGGCGATAGAGAGCCACACGAGCAGGGGGCCGCGAGCTGACCTGACGCAGACGCAGACGCAGCAACCTGAGGGGACACAGTAGTCAGTGTGTACAGACTCGAGCCAGGCGCTCGGGTGAACGTGGCCAGGTGCCGACCAGTCCGGGAGCACGTACAGTGGGTCACACGCTGACCTCTAGGAGTGAACTGGTCAACCCACACATCCTGGATGTCAGCTCCACTCATCAAGTTCGTAGAGAACGAGGGGAGGTGAAGACCTGACAGTGAGCCAAAGGGAACTGCTGGACACGGCAGAACAGTGGAGGAGCGTGCAATGACCGGGCCCCCAGAGTAGTCCGCCAGGGAGACTGCAACTGGCCGACTGAGCGGCGTGAGTGTGGTGCAGTCGCGAAAGAAGGGGCGGGAAGCACCTGAGTCAAGAGTGAAGGTGTGCAAGGCCTCAGCATGCGCAGTACAAGAGAGAAAAGACTCACCAGCACCTGGAGCAGCAGACTCACTAGCACCTAGAGCAGCAGCCTCACCAGCACCTAGAGTAGCAGACTCTATACCTGAGTCGCGCGGCACACACAGGTAACAGTCACCCTCAGCACTAATAGTCACAGCATACATGGCAGCAAGGATAGCAT